GAGCCCATATACTCTGTCATCCCTGTTACTGTCCACTGTGTTTTTGGCGCCCCCAGCTGGCCCACAGCCATTCCCCAATGCTTGTCCACTCACTGAGTCTAGTAAGCCTGTCTAGAGTTCCTTGTTCCTCATCTAGCAGCAATCAGTTGCCAATATTCCTTCAGATGAGATTGGGGTCTGTTGTTCATTTTCCCAGTTCTTTCCTAGGTTACTATCTGGGAGTCCCTTTGGCCACCTTGGCCAACAACTCAAAAGAAGGTATTGCCTATCTGGAATTGCTGCTTGTTATGTAGCCTTTAGCTATGTATATGGACTCCTAAGAAATTATATTGGCCCCTTTAATCTTTGGTTATACTTTCCTTTTGGGTGTTTATGACCATACAGTTGGCCCAGATAAACCAATTTATTTTTACTCTTAAGGTTGTTTGAGGATCTGTTCCTCAGGGGTCACGTGGACTTGGTTTAGTTTTTGTATGTATTGCCTGCATGTATGTAAGTGCACCTGCGCCATGCAATGCCTGCAGAGGTCAGAAGAGGGCATCAAATTCCTTGGAGTTCCAGGCAGTTGTTAGTCACCATGTGGATGCTGGGAACTGAACTGGGTCCTCTGTAAGAGCAGCCAGGCTGTTAACCCCTGCGCCATTGCTCCAGTCCTGGAAGTTGTTTTCTTAGACTCATGATTTCAGAGGTTCTAGTCAGTGTCACAGCTGCCTACATTTAGGCCTTGAAACAGGCAATACATTGTAGCCGTAGTGTAAAAGGTCAATCTGTCTGCTTCATGGTGGTTGGGAAGAAAAGATAGGCCTAATGGTCTATGGTCCCAAACTCCCCTTCATGGGCATGTCCTTCAGTGACTTAACTCTCTCACTTGGCCCCATTTCCTAAAGATTCTTGCACCTCATAGAAACACCACAGGCTGAGGACCAGGCCTTCAAAACACAGGCTTTCAGACATAGGTCAGGGGCTTAACAAGTCTTTTTCATAAATATAATAGTTAATTAATCTTCAAGAATTTCATACAGACATACAGTGTATGTCAATCATATTCACCCCCGCTCCTCCCTTTACTCCAGATCTGTCCTCACCTCTGTTTCCTCCAAAATTTGTGTCCTTTTTTGTAATTGGCCAAGTATAATTTGTGCTGTCCTTATACTCATGGCTGTGGTCCAACCACTGGAGTATGATCAGCCTATCAGAGTTCACACCCTTAAAGAAAACTGACTACATTCTCCAGAAGCCATTAACTGTCCGTAGTGCTTCAGCTAGGGGTGGGGGCTCAGGAGCTCCCCCTCCTCCCAGCTGGAAGGTTAACTGGCTTGATCTTGTGCAGGTCTTTTGAGTTAATGAGTGCAGTGGTCCTGTCACATCCGGAAGACACTGTTTCAGTACGGTCCTCCATGACCTCTGGCCCTTACAATATTTCCACTTCTTCCTCTTCTGTGATGCTCCCTGAGCACTGGGGGGAGGGGTGAAACACAGCTTCATTTCTGACTGAGTACTCCACAGATATTTATTCTCTGGACTTTGGCCAGCTGCGAGTTTCTCTAATAACTCTGTCCACTGTACAAAGAAATTTCTCTGCTGAGGTCTGCAGTAATCTATAGATAGAGAGATATGAATTTAAAAGGCAGTTTGATGATACTATATCCACCTAGCAAAATAATAGTAGTAGGTTCACTCCTGGGTCTTATGAACGCCCCAAACATGGACTCTTGGCCAGATTCATAGTACCAGATATATGTTTCCTCCTGTGGAACAAGCCTTAAATCCAATCAAAAGAGCAAGTTGGTTATACCCATAGTTGAATTCATGGATGTATTTCTGAACTGGTTGTAATTGGAGCTTACAGGATTCACAGCTGGATAATGATACTTTCCCTCAGCATCCTACATGACACTTTCCATTATTCTGAAAGTTGCCAAATAAAAAGGACATTGTTAGGTATGTAATACTGCCCCTAGAGCTGTATAACAAGTCTTTTTAACTTTCTTCTAACTTCCTCTCCTAACCCCTTTGCCAGTTTTCTAGTCTCTCTTTTCCTTCTCTAGAAAAATTTGCCCTTGTCCCAAGCTTCAGCAGACAGTATTTTAGTTGAAAAATCTGTTAGCCAAAGTCACTCAGGAAGCTCCATAGTCCTAGAAATGTATTGTGCTTGGTTTTAGGAAGCTGCTGTATACTTCACGACATAGCCACAGCTCAGCCAGGGTAAAATCTGTATTGCCCTTTCCTACACTTGTAAGAAACACCAAAAAGTAAGGGGTCCTCAACACAACCACTATTGAACGAGGATGTAGAAATAACAGCAGGTCACTGAAAACATGACCTCATATATACATGCAATGGGTTTTTTTCCTTTAGAATGCTTTCCTTTACTTGTTACAAGTTTTTGACTAGTCTATAAATCTTGATGATGGTTATTGATATATTTATAGGACAGGATCATAGAAAAAGGAGACCTGCACTTGGAGGATTGGAAGCTTGATCAGGGCATGGTTACTTTGGACCCCAACGGGAGTTTCTTCCCAATTCTGGATGGAAATTGTTTTGGAAATGCAGGGAACTCTGCGTGATGATCTCAAAGTGTTGATAAAGATTTGCTGGAGGTTGTAGGGACAGGAAAAAGGCTGACATTATCTATGTACATAGAATTCTAGAGGAAAATGACTATACCCCTTGCATGACAGACGGGAAGAAGCTGGTCTTTACAGGTAAGTGATACAGGGGCAGTACCTTTCAGAACTCCAGACACACCCAGTTGAGGACTATATAAAGGAAGGACTCAGTTCAGCTCTCAGTCACGGCCTTTCCTGGCAAGATGAAGTCTACCAGCTTTTTGCTCCTCTCTCTCTTCCTCGTTCTGGTGACACAAGCAGCTGGGAGGAGACCCCGTGGTGAGTGAGGAGAGTGGGTCTGGGGGAAAGGTACTGAGGGCCAGTGTTTGCTAAATGGCATTCTGGGGGTCTGCAGAATGCTTTTTTCCTGGGGATTTTTATTCCTGATGGGAATTCAGTCTATTCTACCCATATTCATAGCACTTGTGAATTAATGAGCAAAAGGTCAGTGGTTCGGGTTGTGGGGGAATGGTAGAGAGCTTGAAACTCAAATATTCTTATTGTGGAGAATCAGGAGAGGAGCAAGGGCATTTGCTGTGTAGATCGTTCCAATTTGTAACTAGACAAAAGGTCAACGACATTATAGAAAACAGAACAAGCAGTAAGTTGCATCCAAAGACAGATTATTAACCAGAGCCGAACCACAGGTTGTTGGCAGTGTCCTGGTTTACAACTTAGAATGCACAGAAATATAGAGATAGCTAATGAAGCATACTTTTCTCTCAACAGAAAAATTCCAACAGTCATCTGAAGATGTCTCCAGTGAAAGCTTTGAGGTACATATGTTGGACAAAGGCCCGGGACTAAACTCTGCTGAAGAAGAATACAGCATAACTGAGAAAACACGGACTGGTTATCGTTCAGAGAAGCCCAAAAGCATGTACAGCGAGGAAATCTATGAGGAAACACTTCATAAAAAAAATAAAGACCGTGTCCAAGGGAATTACAAGGCAAAGAGATTTCAGGATGAAGAAAGCGAGAGCTCATACAGAAACAGAAAGATAAAACCCCTTTTCACAGGATATGAATAAATAACATGTTCATGAGCCAGCTGAAGACCCAGACCAATATTATGGTAGGTTTTACCAGATAAGAGAGATAACTACCACAGTGTTTGGAAGTTGTACGTGAGTACACCCTGGGCCCATTATGGGACTAATGCCCACTGTCCATACCCGTGGAACTGTGGTGGTACGCCCTTTGGGAAGGTGAGATAAGCACCTGACAGAGCAGAGAAAAATGTACCTGGGCTGTGACTGGGCCCTGAACGTATTCCTACAGAATACGCTCAATAATTTTCTCTTGCACGTGACAGCAAGTGAGAAACATTGAATACCACCATCAGTGTAAGAATATTTATGTTTACAGTATAACCCTGCTAATTTTTACAGTTTGGCTTTGTAAAGGTTAATTTCTTGCTCATCCTGGGAGGAAGCATTGTAGCAGTTGGTGTTCTCTTTGAATATCTGTGTATCCGTACAAGGATGCACTTTTCTTCTCTCAAAGGCCATAGCACCAAGAATTAGCTTCCTCTTCTCTCTCAATAAAGGAAAGAGATGAGTGTAAGAAAAGTTCCTGTTTGTGACACAGGAGAGAGGAAAAGTAGTAGGAACAAGTAGTGGTGAAGAACCATGGAGGCATGGACCCCACCCACATATTCCCTCTCCACCCTTCACTCTCCTCACCTCACAGATTGTCCTTTCTCTCCCTAGGAGTCACTTACCTGGATGAAGCCTGTGATATCTTAATGATGCAGAGTCCCATGTGGTCCCAGAGACAGTCCATGGCCGACTCTTCCTTCTCCCACTTGTTTCTCTTGAGATTTCTGAACCCAACATGTATTCAACTTTCTTTCCAATAAAAAGATAACATTCTGCATTATTAACTTTTGAGTCCTGAGATTTCCTTGTTTTATCATATTTAGGGACGGGCTGATATTCCTGAAATTAACAGTTCCAAAATAAAAGGTATTAACATTCTTGTGTCACTATGGTGAAATCAGACACCATTCCAAACTTTTGAATAGGAATTCAACATTCAATAGAGGGCACCAGAACTCTGTTAGTCACTATATGTACCGAATTCCCTCTTGACCCTTTTTCTAGTAGGGCTTCAGATATGACCAACCTATGAAATATCAAAGAAGATGTGTTCCTTTAGGTACTGGGAAAATCCCTGATCTACTGGCGCCAACAGTCCACAGTACCATATTCCTGCACTTGGTCCAGGCTTCTTGCACATTGTGTGGTTTCCTTTAGGTTAGAAATGTCCCTAGGTATGATATATGCAAAGACAGTGTGATAAACAATATCATCTGTGGAGAGACACAGCAGAGGACCAACTATAATGGTAGAAGAGGGCTGTCTTCAAAGTGAAAACCATGTCCTTGGAGAAACCAACACGGAAAAGTAAAACAAAACAAAACAACTCACTGCCCTATGGGTAAGGAGTTTGATTTCCAGTTCCACATCTGTCACAGGAAAACACCTATCTTCAATCAAGTCTATTTTTATGTCCTCCAAAATTAACCCTTAATGCATACATGAGTATCCCATGTTCATGGTTCAATAGGATTAATATTGTGAAAATGGTCATCCTGCCAAAAGCAGTCTACAGATCCAATGCAATTCCCATTAAAATTCCAACACAATTCATCACAGAAATTGAAAAAATAATCTCAAAATTAACATGTAAACACATACACACACATACACACACACACACACACACACACACACACACACACACAACCAGGATAGCCAAAACAATTCAGAATAGCAAAAGTCCTGCTGGGAGGGAGCATCACTATCACTGAGTTCAAGTTATACTATAGAGCTATATTAATGAAAACAGCATGGTACTGGCATAAAAAACAGATACATTGATCAATAGAATAGAATTGAGGACCCAGATTTGAGTTTACACGCTTACAGTCATCAGGTTTTTTTTTCTTTTTTAAAAATATTTTACTTATTGTTTTTATTTTATGTGTATGAGTGTATTGCCTGCATGTATGTAAGCACACCCATGTCATGAAATGCCCACAGAGGTCAGGAGAGGACGTCAGATTCCCTTGGAACTTGAGATACTGATGGTTGTCAGCCACCATATTGGTGCTGGGAATCGAGTCTGGGTCCTCTGCAAGAGCAGCCAGTGCTCTTAACCACTGAGCCATTTCTCCAGCCCTCTAATTACTTTTTCTACTTCTATTTTTTAGTTCCCTTACAAAGTGCATTCGACAAGGGTGCTAAGAGCACACAGTGGTAGAAAGATAGCATCTTCAACAAGTACTGCCGGCAAAACTGGATCTCCACCTGCAGAAAAATGAAACTTGACCCTTATCTTTCACCCTGCACAAAAGTCAACTCCAAATGGATCAAAGACCTCAATATAAAACCTGAAACTTGGAAACTGCTAGAAGACAACAGTAGTATCCTCCAAGATAGGAAAGGTAGGAAAGGACTTTCTAAACTACACACCAGCTGCTCGGCACTAAGGTCAACAATCAATTAAGTGGGGTCTCATTAAATTACAAAATTTCTGTACATTAAAAAAAACAACTAAGGAAGGGAAGAGGAAACCCACTTAGTGGGAGAAAATCTACTAGGATTAATATACAGAATATACAAAGAACTCAAAAAAGAAAGAAATGAGAAGATAAATGACCCAATAAAACGATGGGCGATAGACCTAGACAGAGAGTTCTAAGCGAAGAAATAAAAATGGCTAAGAAGCACCTTAAAAAGTGTTCAGCATTCTTAGTAATTAGGAAATGCAAATCAAAACCACTTTAAGATTTCATCTTACCCTAGTCAGATTGGCCAAGATCAAGAAAATGAAAGATTCCAAATGCTAGAGAGTATGTGGAAAAAGAGGAATGCTCATTCACTGATGGTGGGAATGCGAACTCATGCAACCACTATGGAAAGCAGTGTGGAGAAGCCTCAAAAAACTAAAAATGAACCTACCATATTATCCAGTGATCCCACTCCTTGGCATATACCTAAAGGACTCATCATACTGTAGAGATACCTGTACATCCATGTTTGTTGCTGCTGTCTTCACAATAGCTAAGAAATGGAAACAACCTAAATGCCCCTCAATTGATGAATGATTAATGAAAACGTGGTACATCTACTCAATGGAGTTCTACTCAGCAATAAAAAAGATGAAATTATGAAATTTTCAGGTAAATGGATGGAACTAGAGAGTGTTATGCTAAGTGAAGTAACACAAACGCAGAAAAATAAGTGACGTATGTTCTCCCTCATTTGTGGATGGTCCCTTGTATGTGAGTATATAAATTCCGATGTAACACCAGGAGCCAGGTAAAGGCAAAGGATACATGGAGGTAAAGGAAGAGAAACAACCTGAAAGGGGGACAGTAGGAAACAGATGCCACCTGAGGGAGGTGGAAAAATTGTGAGTAATTAGGAAGGAGGAGAAGGGGGAGAGACAGTCAAGGGACCATAGTGTCAAGGAGTAAGGGAAGTAAGGAACGGAAAGATGGCAGGAGTCAGGAGGTATTGGGGGGAGGGTGGGAATAATGGGGGCACTGTGACTAGGAAGGGAGCGGGGAGATAGACCGGATGGGAGAAAAAAGATGAATGAATCTCTGGAGTCTATGAAACCTACAGGGAAAAGTGATGCCCTCGAAACCCTATGAGAAATGCATGTAGAGTGTCTGAGCATTAATGTATATGTATACCTGGGAGCTGCTTGGCAGGGAAGGCAGTGCCAGATAGAAGAGACCTACCTCCCTTAGAGCGACAAACATACCATACAGCATCAAGGAACCTTCTTTTTGCAACAGATGGAGGCTACTGTAGAGTTGCAGATCTGGTCAGGCACAGAGAACATACACCTGGGAGATGCCCAGTACTAGGTGACACATCTGCAGTCGAATCTCCACAACCAAGGTTCATGGAACATAGCAGAATAGGAGACACAGAGAGGGCTAATGCACCCCTCAGCTCTCACCAGTGAGGCTTCCATGCACGTCAGAGCACATTACAGAAGGCTCAACTGGCCAAGTTTTAGAGAATATGAGACTGTAGAGTGTAGGACGGGACTCCTATATGGAATTTCACCCACCCACAGCTCAGGGACCATTGCAGAGAGGAGGTGGAAAGATTGTAAGAGCCAGGGCTGGTTCATGAACATATGAGGAGGAGGCTTCCAGGCCAATGGGGGCTTGCTCATGTGCGCCTATGGCAGCAGTGGCTTCCAATGTGGAACCCATGTCAGCTCAATTAAACAAGGGCCCAAGGCGGGGGTGGTTAGAAATAGGTGGCAGGCCAGCAATAGATTGAGAACTATTAGAGACTGATTGCTGCTGGGTGAGGGAGAGCATGACTTACATACGACCACCAGATAGGCTGACCAGACTCCAGTGGACACATTTACAATGAGGAACACTTGGGTACAAACACCTGAATGAATGAGACTCAGCATGTATGGCAGAGTGCATAGGGTTCAGAGCAGGTGAGGGGGAGGGAAGGCATGGATGGGGGAGGGAGTCTGGATGTGAGATGGAAATACTGTATGACAATTTAAAAGCTTGATAAAAATATTTTATTGTTTTTATTTTATGTGTATGAGTGTATTGTCTGCATTATGTAAGTGCACCCATGTCATGCAATGCCCACAGAGGTCAGGAGAGGACGTCAGATTCCCTTGGAACTTGAGATACTGATGGTTGTTAGCCACCATATGGGTGCTGGGAATCGAGTCTGGGTCCTCTGCAAGAGCAGCCAGTGCCCTTAGCCACTGAGCCATTTCTCCAGCCCTCTAAATTACCTTTTTTACTTCTATTTTTTAATTGCCTTACAAAGTGTTTATTTCCATGGGGCTCTTAAATATACTCTTCACTTTGGCTAGTACTTTCTCCTTGTTCCCTCATCTCCCTAGCCCCGACTCCCATCCCTGCTTGAAGCTTCCCACCCCCAATGTTCCCCCTTTATACTTTTATATTATCTGTTATACCAGCCCCCTCCATTAATGTGCCCCTTATCCAATGGCCTCTTTCTAT